TTCTCTCCAGTATGAGTCCTACCATGCACTCGAAGGTGTGAGGTAGATCTGAAGGCTTTCCCACATTCCTTACATTCATAGGGTTTCTCTCCAGTGTGAGTCCCACCATGCACTCGAAGCTGTGAGGCAGATCTGAAGGCTTTCCCACACTCCTTACACTCATAGGGTTTCTCTCCAGTGTGAATCCTTTCATGATATCGAAAGGAACTGGAAAGATCGAAAGCTTTACCACATTGGTTGCATTTATAGCGTTTCTCTCCAGTGTGAGTTTTTTCATGTCTTTGAAATGACTTGGCAGAATAAAAGCCTTTCTCACATATCTTACATTTATAAGGTCTTTCTCCAGAGTTCATTCTGTGTGTTTGAAAACTTGTAAGATAGGATAAGGCTTCCCCATATTGCTTACATTCATACGTCTTTTTCCCAGAGTGGGTCTTTTCATGTCTACGAACAGAACTGGTATACGCGAATGCTTTTCCACATTCTTTACACTGATAAGGCTTCTCCCCTATGTGACTCCTTTCATGTCTATGATAGGAACTGGAACTATGAAATGCTTTATCACATTTGCTACATTCATAGGGCTTCTCCCCAGTGTGAGTTCTTTCATGTATTTGAAGGGTAGCAGAATAACTAAAGGATTTACCACATTGTTTACATTCATATGGTTTCTCTCCAGCGTGTGTTCTTTCATGGATAAGACATAAACTGAAACAATGGAAGGCTTTCCCACAAAATTTACATTTATAAGGTCCATCCCCTTTGTGCATTACCATGTGTCTTCGAATGCTTGAATGGAAAATAAAGGTTTTTCCACATTCTTTACAAGCATAGGGTTTCTCTCCAATGCGATCCCTTTCTTGTGTTCTAATGTAGGGGCGATACCTGAAGGTTTTCTTATTCTTAGGTTGTTGACACTTATATGGCTTCAGTTGACACTTATATGGCTTTGGTCCATATTCCTGATACTCATATGCCTTGTGTCCAATGTCACCTCTGATGTTCATATTAAAAGATGAGTTACCTATGCCAACTTCACCACACACAAAGCTGTCACATGATTTTACTTCAGGAGAAGTTTGCTTCTCCTGGAAGTTCAGCCTGTCATCTGGAACCTGGGTAAAAGTTTCTCCACAATGACTGTCTTCTTTAATTTCATTGACTTTCTCTTCTATGAGACTCCTGTAAAACATGAGAAGCACATTATGAAGGGTTTGTTTATAAGCAATTTTATATTCATCAACAAGTATTACACTTGCATTTTTAACACTGTCCATCAAAGTGTAGGCTTTCGGCCCTGGCTGAATTGTTTGAAGATGACTGGACATGTTCTACAAGATGACCCAGCCATACCTATTGTTTAAAAAAATATTCATAAAGGGCTTAATACTATTCCCATGTAAACTATTTTACAATTACTAAATACTCTATGTCATTTTTCTTTTGAGTCTGGTACTTGTCCTGTTGCCCATGCTGGAGTGCTATGATATCATCATAGCTTACTGTAGCCTTTACTGGCTCAAGTGATCCTCCTGCCTCAGCCTCCTGAGTAGCTGGGACTACTGATGAATACCACAATGCCCAGCTAATTTTTGGCCGTTGTTGATATGTGGTCTCGCTATATTGCACAGGCTGTTCTTGAACTGCTGGCCTCAAGCTATCTTCCTATCTCCACTTCTCAAAGGACTGGGATTACAGGAGTGAGCCCTCAGCCTCAGTCACATTTAAATATATGTGTTTTGAGAAAATATTCTAAGAAGAAATGAATTTGATGCTGGATTTAGTTCTTTGTTTCACTTCTCTTCAACATATTCTCATATTCTAAGATTGTGTAGAGAGACAGTGCTTTCTCTTGTAAGTGCAAATTACCTGAAGCTTCTTCTGGGGATTTTGTACTCATATTCAATGTTCTGGTCTTTCCACTTTTTTCCTAAAATACAGACACAGAAAAATAGTCCTGAAGCGTATAAAATTGTGAAAAAATTATTAGATTCTATGCCCATGATTTACTGCAGCCATGCCTTATTTATTCATCAAAGTATTTCCTGTCTGTGTTCAAAATCACTCAGCAACATTGATGAGCTAGAAACACTGGTTCACTAATGCACTGAGGAAAGGAAAACTGTCATCCTTACCTATAGAGGTCAGGTTCCTGAAAGTTTCCAGCATCACTTCCCTGAAGAGATTCTTCTGGGAAATATCCAGCAACGTCCACTCTTCCTGGGTGAAGTTCACAGCCACATCCTCAAAGGCCACTGGGTCCTGAAACATCTCACATGTGTAGAGGAGGATGGGTAAGAGTGACAGCACTAGGGGCCTAGACTCTATTCCCAAGAAGTTCTCAGGATGCCGTGGACTCCAAATACTTATTCCCTGCTTTGGTCATCAGATCCCTTTCTCTCCTTCTATACTTACTTTCTTCCATAAAGCAACTTTTATTTTTTTATTTTTTTGAGACAGAGTTTCGCTCTTGTTGCCCAGGCTGGAGTGCAATGGCGTGATATTGGCTCACAACCGGAGTTCAAGTGATTCTCCTGCCTCAGCCTTCCGAGTAGCTGGGATTATAGGCATGAGCCACCACGCCCAGCTAATTTTGTATTTTTAGTAGAGATGGGGTTTCTCCATGTTGGTCAGGCTGGTTTCAAACTCCCAACCTCAGGTGATACACCTGCCTCAACCTCCCAAAGTGCTGGGATTACAGGCGTGAGCCACTGTGTCCAGCCAGCAATTTTTTTTTTTTTTTTTCTTAACAGAGTCTCTCTCTGTTGCCCAGGCTGGAGTTGAATGGCACAATCTTGGTTCACTACGACCTCTGCCACCTGGGTTCACGTGATTCTCATGCCTCAGTCTCCTCGGTAGTTGAAACCACAGGCATGTGCCACCGTGTCCAGCTAGTTCATAAAGCAATTGTGATGTTAGAACTGAACAAGTGGTAGGCAACAGCAGGATACGAAAATGTGTGTTTTCACTGAAACTAAGGAAGGAGACCACCTCTCTTATTGTCTCATATTTAAGAAAACGAAAGAGGAAGCAAAAGTTAGAGGAAGGCAGAAACGAGATCAATAGTCAGACAGTCTGGTGCCACACCCCAGGCCTGGTAGTTAAAAATCAACTCCTGACCTAACCACTTGTATTAGCTATAGATGCCAGATATTGTATGAGAAAGCATTCTGAAACTCTGTGTTCTGTTCTGCTCTGTCCTGTTAATGATGCATGCAGCCCCAGTTATGCACCCCATGCTGGCTCAATCAATCACGATCCTTTCACGTGGACTCCCGTAGAGTTGTAAGTCTTTAAAAGGGGCAGGAATTTCTCTCTCTCAGGGAGCTTGGTTTTTAAGATGCAAGTCTGCCAACACTCCCAGCCAAATAAAGCCACTTCCTTCTCTAACCCAGTGTCTGAGAGGTTTTGTCTGTGGCTCGTCCTGCTACATTTCTTGGTTCCCTGACCGGGAAGCAAGGTGACTAGCAGATGGCCGAGGCAACCCCTTAGGCGGCTTAAGCCTGCCCTGTCGAGCATCCCTGCAGGGGACACTGGCCAGCTTGAGTGATGCGGATCCTGAGAGTGCTCCCGGGTAGGCAATTGCACCAGTGGAACGCCTCACCAGAGCAGTGCATGGCATGCCCTCATGGAGAATCAATACAGTGGCTGAACACTAGGAAGGAATTGGAACTTGGAGTCTGGACATCTGGAACACGGTAAGACCAGTCTTGGGAACTTGCCCACTCCATTTGAGTGGAAGTGTGGCCTGATCACCCACGGTGTGCCTTTATCGGCACTTTGTCTTTGGTTTTGATTTTGACTTTGCTTGAAGTGCTTGACAAACAGGCGTGCCCTTATTGGCACTTCAGCTTTGGTTCTGATTTTGATTTAGTGTGAATTAGACGAGTGAGTGACCTTTACCCTTTCCGTCTTATAGTGTGAGTGTTGTCTTGTCTCAAGAGAAAAATGGGTCAGACACAAGGTAAGCCCACCCCACTAGGAACTATGTCAAAAAAATTTTCAAAAAGGGATTTCAGGGAGACTATGGAGTTACTGTAACACCAGGAAAACTTAGAACTTTGTGTGAGACAGACTGGCCAGCATTAGAGGTGGATTGGCCATCAGAAGGAAGCCTTGATAGGTCCCTTATTTCAAAGGTATGGCACAAGATTACCTGTAAGCCAGGGCATCTAGACCAGTTCCTGTACACAGACACTTGGTTACAGCTGGTTTTACACCCCCCCGCCAGTGGTTGAGAGGACAGGCAGCAGCACTGTTAGTGGCAAAGGGACAGATAGCCCACGAGGGATCTTGCTCCACCCGCCGAGGGAAGTCAGCTCCTAAAGTTCTATCTGACCCAATGTCAGAGGACCCATGGCAGGAAATGGCACCAGCAATGCCCCCCGCCCTTACCTGGAAGAGAGACTCCCCACTCCTGAGCCCACAGCACCTGTGCCTCCACCAGACACATACACCTCTAGACCAACCAGAGCAGACAAGAAAGAATGTGAAGCTGCAGGAGAAACCCCTCCCTTGGCAGCTCGTTTACAACCTAAGATTGGAAAGACAAGTGCCCCCAGTTAAAGAAGAAACAAAATGGCTCCAAGTCAGAGGTCTCAGGCAAGGACGAAAGGGCCTTGTTTAATCTGGCAGAAGGGTTACTGGACCAAGGGGGACCGGGCTCAGGTGCCCCCAATGAGCCCATGGTCAGGATGACAGTTGGGGACAAGGACATTGAGTTTCTTGTCAATACTAGTGCTGAACATTCAGTAGTAACCAGCCCGGTCGCCCCCTTATCCAAAAAGACTATTGATACAATCGAAGCCACAGGAGTCTCGGCAAAACAAGCTTTCTGCTTGCCCTGGACTTGTACTGTAGGGGGACACGAAGTAATTCACCAGTTCTTGTACATTCCCAACTGCTCCTTGCCCTTGCTGGGAAGGGACTTGCTTAGCAAGCTGAGAGCCACCATCTCTTTTTACAAAGCACAGCTCTTTTACAGCTGAAGTTACCTGGAAAGGGAGTCATCATGGCCCTTACGGTCCCCCGGGAGGAGGAATGAAGACTTTTCTTAACCAAGCCAGGCTAAGAGATAAGACCAGCTCTGGCTGAGTGGTGGTCAAAGGTGTGGGCGGAAGATAACCCTCCAGGGCTGGCAGTCAACCAAACCCCTGTACTTACAGAAGTTAAGCCTGGGGCCCAGCTGGTCAGGCAAAAACAGTACCCGGTCCCCCAGAGAAGCTCTTGAAGGTATCCAGGTCCATCTCAAGCACCTGAGAGCCTTTGGAATTACAGTCCCTTGTCAGTCTCCATGGAACACTCCCCTCCTGCCTTTTCCCAAGCCGGGGACCAAGGACCACAGGCCAGTACAGGACTTGCGCTTGGTCAATCAAGCTCAGAAAGAAAGCGGGTCATCTGCAGCCTACTGTAGCCTAAAACCAGAAGGCAGGTGAGAGAATTCTTAGGGTTCTGCAGACTGTGGATGCCAAACTTTGCAGTACTGGCCAAACCTCTATATGGGGTCACAAAGGCGGGTGCCGGGAACCTTTTGAATGGGAATCCCAACAACAGTGAGCCTTTCATGAGTTAAAAGAAAAACTTACGTCAGTCCCAGCCCTGGGGCTACCTGATCTGACAAAGCCTTTTACACTGTATGTGTCAGAAAAAGAAAAAAATGGCAGTTGGAGTTCTAACCCAGACTGTGGGGCCCTGGCCAAGGCCAGTGGCCTACCTTTTACCTACTTATTCTAAAGAAGAAAAGGACTTTCTCCAGGCAGAGGGAGGACAGGTGATGGAAGAAGGATGGATCTGGTTACTGGATGGGAGAGTAGCTGTGCCACAGCTGCTGGAAACTGCAGTCATACTGGCTGTGCATAAAACCACCCATCTAGGCCAGGAGTCACTTGAAAAGTTGTTAGGCCAGTACTTCTACATCTCATTTACCAGACCTTGCCAAAACAGTGGCACAGCGATGTATTATCTGCCAACAACACGATGCAAGGCAGGATCCAACCATCCCGCCCGGCATACAAGCTTATGGAGCAGCTTCCGCTGAAGATCTGTAAGTAGACTTCACAGAAGTGCCAAAATGTGAAGATAGCAAGTATTTATTAGTTCTTGTGGGTGGGTGGAGGCTTATCCAACGCGAACTGAGAAAGCTGTTGAAGTAACCCGTGTGCTTCCTCGAGATCTTATTCCTAGGTTTGAACTGCCCTTACAAATTGGCTCAAATAATGGGCTGGTGTTTGTGGCTGACTTGGTACAGAAAACAGCATGGGTATTGGGGATCACATGGATACTGCATGCTGCCTACCGACCTCAGAGTTCCGGAAAGGTGGAGCAGATGAGTCAGACTATCAAAAATAGTTTAGGGAAAGCATGTCAAGAAACAGGATTAAAATGGGTACAAGCTCTCCCTGTGGTATTATTTAAGATTAAATTTACCCCTTCTAGAAAAACAGGATATTCCTCTTATGAAATATTATATCATAGACCTCCTCCCAAACTATGGGGACTTCCAGGCACTCCCTGAGAGTTAGGTGAAATTAAGTTACAGCGACAGCTACAGGCCTTAGGAAAAATTACACAAACAATCTCAGCCTGGGTAAATGAGAAATGCCCCATTAGCTTATTCTCCCCAGTTCACCCTTTCTCCCCATGTGATCGAGTGTGGATCAAGGACTGGAACGTAGCCCCCTTGTGCCCATGGTGGAAGGGACACCAGACCACTCCCACTGCCATGAAGGTAGAGGGAATCCCGGCCTGGATCCACCATGGTTATGTAAAACCTTCAGTACCTAAGACCGGGGAGGCGAGACCAGGCCCAGATAACTCATGCAAAGTGACTCTGAAAAAGACGACGAGCCCTGCTCCGGTCACACCTGGAAGTTGACTGGTCTATGTGAGGCCAAAGCATGAGGAAACGTGTCATGGGACTCATTCTCCTTAAAATTTGGACTTCAACAATAAGGACTTCAACTGATTTTCCCCCCACGGAAGATTGTTCCCCGTGTATTCATCAGGTTACTGAGGTAGGGCTACAAGTTAAAACAATCTTCCTGTTTTATAGTTATTATGAATGCCTAGAAATTTTAAAAAGAACTTGCCTGTATAACACGACTCAGTACAAAGTGTGTAACCCAGGAAATGCCCGACCTGATGTGTACTATAACCCATCTGAGTCTCCCATGATCATAGTCTTTGAAATAAGATTTAAAAACTAGTTCTTTTCTAGGCAATAGAAGTAAAAAAAGCTAAAACAGAAAAAAAAAAAAGCCCCATTTACATGT